AATAGATTTGTTCTTATTTGTTAGTGGCATTTACTAAAAAGTGATCTCAGATAGAATATCACTGACGACCGTGAAGTAGTGGATGGTTGTTTTGTTTCAAAACGGGACTACCCAAAAGTGAAAGCTCAAAAACTTGACAGAGCTAGAATCAGCTGGATTTCAGCCACATTAGGAGTGAAAAATTTGTCTCCAAAGGAATTGACTTATTGTTGAACTATACTGTTAACTCCCCGGTTAAGCGCTTATCGTGAGATCTGAAGTACAATGAATTAGATCCTTGGTGGAGTCAGTGGGCGTGCACTTTCAAGATGTTTCATACTAAGATGAAGCAGTTACTCAGTTTTTGACTGTCTTCAATACCGAGTGCACAAAATTGCAGTTTATTAATTAGTTCCAATAAAGCTTTAAATAAATATTAGAGAATCTATATAAGAAGAAATAATAAAGTCGATGTGGCTAAAATTCACTGACGGGAGTCTGAAATTATAAAAATGTATATGAGACTGAAGAATTTAAACAGATTCTCTGAAAAAGTGGCTTACAGTGAGTCACGAAACGTCAGAAATACAATTTTTCTACTCACTAGGATATCACAAATATGTTATTTTTATTTATATTATGTATGGGTTTTGATTTAACTGATATTAACCACAAGTTGCTGAAACCACCAAACTGCATTACGAGTCAAGCTCTAGCTTGGAATCCTGAAGGGGAACAGAAAAGAGGAAGAAAAAAAAACACTGTCGGAAATTGAAAGCAGATATGAAGGGTTACCTGGGACAAAGTTAGATGGAAAATGCTGGTGGGCGGCATATGCTGTTCCACAAGGGGTAACAGGCATAAGTAAGTAAGTATTGTTGAAATGTAAATAAGTTGCGATATGAACTTTATTTTCTGTAAATCTTTCAACATTTGGTCGTAAAATGAAGTTGAAACTAGAACTGGTTAGTTTCCTAAAACCAAAGAAAATATTTAAATGCAGACAAAACTTACAAGTATCAAGAAGCTTTAGCCGAGATTCATTGAGTTTTTAAGTAGTTTAAATCACGGGTCGACGTCAGTTGACGGTAACAGTGAGTAGTAGAAAACCACTTCGTACCTATTTGACATTTACAAATATCGTTAGTTTTCAGAAAAACACGACAAAAAGTATGGTCTTTTAGTCATTATTGACTAGCTTTGAGATGAGTTTCTTGGGCTGTAAATGAATATTATGATTTATGGAGTTCATTTACGTCGTAAACAAGATAGCCAACAGTGGATAATTGTCACACTAGAGTTGACGAATGTGCTGTGCTAGATTCCAACTCAGTGGTATAAGGGTTAAGTAATTGCTGAGAAACCTGAGGGACATGGGTCGATCCCTACTGCAGCTACTAAAGTGTTACCCATTAAGATAGTATGACTGCCCAGTGTTCCCTTGGACTCTGACTGGTGATGTCCCGTGACAAAGACCACAGACGAGCTTATTATGTTTTCTTAATCTTATGGTTTTCTTTTTAAAAAAAATATATTTTATCAATCTGTTCGTTATGAATAGGTTAAATTATTGAAATCATTCATCTAAATAAAATTCAATTGTGTCCGTAAATATTGTTAACATGTAAGATACTGGTCAGTCCTGTATAAATATATATGGATAAACAACAAACAGACTTTATTTCATTTTATTTGGCATTTAGTCAGTTGATATATTACAGGACAGATTAATGCAACTGAATATAATAATTCTTAGTCAGTGTCTATATACACTTGATTTTAAAGGGATCTCTTCAGTAACAATATACCACCATTCTGTTTTAATTAAATTGTGGGTTCATTCATATTTTTATTGATGTTAAGCAATAATCTATATTTTAAAGAAATTTATAACCAATCAGCCATAAATAGATTTATTTTATCTTGATTTTATTAGGTAACTAACTGAGTTGTTAATCCAATTAACAAATGTTCCCTATTTACATGAACGTTGAACTACGACACTTCAAGGTACAATAAAAAAAGTCAATCAATTGTAAACTACACATATTTTTCAATCAGAAAGTTGATATTGACTATATTACTTATAAGAGTTCAAGAATAATAGTGGATCATATTATCATTCAAGTTATTAACCTTCATATTAGAAGCAAAGATGGATGGTGGCTAGCATTAGAGTCCAGGACGTGCATTTCGTCCTATTTGGGATTAATCAGCTGGATTTACCTGCATTCCAAAGTCGACGTCCACTTCGGGACTCGAACCAAGTACCGTTCGTTTCAAATGCCACCGCGTTATCCACTTAGTCATGATACCCACCCGCTTGTGCAATGAGGTGATATTTTTATAATTCACTTCGTATTGTTTGATTGTATCTTCTCATTGTTGTTTAGGACTGCAATTGATGAGCTTGTTATTGGTACATGTGCATCCTGTGCGGATTGCCTTAATTAACAAGCATTATAAGTAAAGATGGATGGTGGCTATCAGTTGAATCCAGGACGCGTGTTACGTCCTATTTGGGACACAGCTGGATGTACAAGCAAACAACACAAAGTGAACTACAAATTAGAAGTTTATAAAATATTCGTTAATTTCAGAGATTAATAGATCAAACACAGGAAGCAATGTGATGTTCAGAGATACAGGATATATTTTGTTAAATAGATTGTGATTATCAAAAATTGTGATTGGATTAGTTGTAGACATCACTCGAGCACTAATAATTAGATGAAAAGCTATATTACTACCGAAGAACCTCTCTGATAGTTCCTGAGTTAGAATCGGAGTCTTGGATGCGCACTGCTGAGGAGTCCCACGATAGTACGGAACGGCCGTCCAGTGCTTCCAGGTTTTCCATGGTGGTCTAGCTTCAATTGACTCATGATCTCAACTATTGAAATTGCTACAATCTCCACAAAACCCCTTCTGATACTTTTCACTAAAAATGTTTTGGTTTAGGGTTAGATGATTTTATAAACAATTTTTGAATGAGTTGTACAGACATTTCAATAATAATTATTATCTTCAAAAAACTTCGAAAGTATCACTCATCTATCAAGCTGATGTCTTTGTACTGAATGTTCAAATGAGTATGAGTCTTAAGACAGTACAACTCAGATTTTTTAGATTGCTTCTTAGTCTTCATAAGAAGATCATCTGATATAACTAGTGAGGCTTCCTATTCTTAATAATACATGTTCAGAATTTTTTCAGTTATTCATTAACCGCAAAGAGATTTAAACTTTTCACTACAGTACTTCAAGTTTGAGTGACTTGACTTGTATCAATTACTGAGACGAAGAAACTAATTTAATACGAAATCATTATAAGACATGGTTTTTCGCATCACTTTTATTACAGAAGACATCTATTGAATACGGTACTAGTTAAAGATAATTTGATACTAATAGAATGTTTATCGGGAAATCCATTTCTGCATATTCATATAGGATGGTCAATTTGTGGAATCATCTACAAAGATATAGAGTTGATTAAAACTATGTAATTTTTGGTAAGATATAGATTACACCTTTAACTTTCTAGCGCGTCGTGTGGGATTAACCTTAATTTAATTGACTACAATTTAAAATGATTTTTTGTTTCTCCAAACATATCTAATAAATCCCTGCTATATTATGTAATCATGTTTCGTCATCAATATTCTAGATCTCTCGTTTTAATTGTTTATAAATAGTATAATAAAAATCTTTCTCAAACTCCCTTAACTTTTAAAGAAATTACTTTCTGATTTTGTAAAAATGTATTTCAAGCAAACTTAACCGAACAGCTGATGAAGAAAGGATCGAAACATAGTCAGTACATTGTATTCTGAAAATATTGTTATTCACTTTCGTGTAAACACCATTCATTTAAGCTTAGGGTAGGTAGAGAATCAACGCTAATTTCAATTATAACTTAATTCATATTAGAGTCCCATTAGTTGCAGTCCTTAACGTCAATAGGAAGATTTGAACGACCAGTACAAAAACGAATTAAACTTCATCCAATTGCAAAAGCCAATAGCTATCTGAACTCAGTAACTAAGTGGATAACGCAATGGTGCTCGAAGTAAACGATACTGGGCTCGGGTCCCGGAGTGAACATCAACTCTGGGATAAAGGTTCATCCAGTGGACGAATCCCAATTGAAACGGAACGTGTATCCTAGACTTCACTGTTAGCCTCTATCTATCTCTGCTTTATTATTATTCTAAACAAATTTGCTATAGAGAACTTGTAGTGACCTACTTTAATGAAGAGAGCACGATTAGTATAATGGAAACAAGTATTATTATAACCAATTGTACCAGTGATTGTTTTACTGTACCTGCTTGTTTAACTGTACTGAAACCACACCTTCTTCCGTGGACTCTGACCTCGCCCTCCTTCGTTTACGCTACGTAGTCCCGCTTGTACTTTTTGGCACGATCTCGGTATTATTTCGATACCACGAGATAGCTAACGAATATATTCTATTACGACAGTCAATTGCCTTTTGGTCTACGAAGGGATTAGACCTAATATCTGGTACGCAATATTCCTGTAGTGGTGATCATAGTCAATCGCAACTCGACGCCTACTACAAACTCAATACACGGTAGTTAGAACTTACGAGACTATTGGTTTTATTCTCTCAATAAACGACCATAGATTATCTTCTGATGTTAATTTTTCAAAATTCTGAAACCATCTAAGGGAAACTTAAAGTCCTATTCTTAGTGATTCATCCCTAAGAACATATCAGATCCATAGATTACAATAAAAAATTGACTTTTAGATAACTGGATCTTATAAACAATAAATTTATTCATAATTGACAGGTTCAAATAAACGTAAACTAATTTCAATAAAATATATTTAGTAGAGGGGTATATATATATATATATATGCAAACGAGATTAATTTTAGTAGTATGATAAAAAAATCATAATAATAAACCATTTTATTCAGTAGAAATAAAATTAGATATACATTGTGATAAAAAATTTCATTAGAATAACTCAATATAAGAATAAAGAGGCTGAACTATGATTCCATGTCCTTTATTGTTAATAAACTTAAATATTATGAAAAGAATCTTTAATCTTATTATCACTGAATTAAAACAAAACAAACAAATTTAAAGGGATAGAATTTGAAATAAAATGAAAAATTTCAATATACACATAAAATCAAATAAACACACTTTACTTGTTGTATTTTATCTATAGAAAAACCAGACATCAAGATGACCTGATAGTTTACCCAATATGTTTAATATATAGTTATATTTTCATCAGTATGTACAAAACTACATTACAAAGTTATGGGGTTTTATAATGGTCTTGTATAGTTTGATAGACAAGAATGACATTAACTAATACAGAGAAAATATTTGTCATACAGGTTAGCTGTGGTCAAAATATTTCATTAGTTCATCTGACTGATATTAGATCGAATTGTATGAAGAAAGTAAGATTGCAGAAAGATCTTGATGATGAATACCAAATAACACAAAACCTAGACGTAACACTTCTTGCCTTGAATCAGCGACTATCAAAATGATTATACCAAGATACTTAGAAATATTAAGACAAAATTGAGTAGAATAAATATGCAATAGATTTGACCAGATCAACAATTTGGGAAGTGTATGCCTTCTTATTGAAATATGTATGTTATTAAGTCAGGTAAACCCACTGAGTATCTTAAATGTTATTGGTTTGGTTGGTTTTCGATAAGATAAAATACATGATATCTAATTCAAAAGTGCTTAGACTATTCTTAACGGTCATCACTGGTTGAATGATGTAATGAGTAAAGTTACATAATAACATTAGATAGTATTACTGATGGGAACCGCAGAAAAAATAAAATCCAGAACATTGCTTAACTTTCTATACAGCGGTAAAACGAGGACTTAGCAAAACGAAAAATATAAAAGTAGGGATAACATCAATGACGAAAGAGAACGGATGAAGTCGAGGAATAAGTAGGACATAAATCTGAAACTTCAAGGTTTAGGGAAAGAATGAATAATTTACGCCATTGCAACCGATTTCAAACTGTGTTGCATTCAATACTGGTGGTAGCTTAGTAATTAAGTCAGCATACTGAAAGGAAATTTTTTATTCCAGACCTTAATCGTAGTTCTATCTCGGATTTTCTCTCACCATATCAGCTTACTGAACTCCGGGTAAGTCTTCAGAATGTTGCGTGTGTTCGTTGGTGATTACCAATCAGATAAACAGGCTTATGGACACGTTTTCCTCCCTTGTCATTTTAGAGATACTTCTGGTTGAAGGACACTTTAAGCTGTTATTCCACTTTTTCCAAAAAACTATAGCACCTAAATCATAGGCTAATTAGCATTGATTATTTTGGTGACGAGAATGTAATACATAGTGAAAAGTCTCAACTGTTAGAATGAAATATGTAAGAAAGAGAAAGTATCAGTGTATGTATGTGATATATCTACGCGTGTCGCTTGTGTGAAGAGTAATGAGACTGTTTTCCTAGACATGTACTATAACGGAATTTATAACAATCCTGACATTAAAACTTTTCGTTAATATAGTTGTTTTTTCAGCTTTAATAAAACTTGCGTAACGAAGTCAGTACGTATTTGTAATGAAATAAAAACCCACCATTTTACTGTGATATCTTTGGATGCAAAACATGTCATTTCAAAGATTTTTCGCGGTTAGATTTCACTTAAGGATTACAGGATATAAAGATTGCTCGTTTTAAGTGAATCCACTTTAATAAACTCATCACCAGCGTCACGAAACTAACTAGTTAAGTGACTTAACACTGAGATTTGCGGTATTCGATAAGGGGTCGACGTCAAAGAAGTCGTGAACTCGGTAGGTAATACCTATGTCAGCAATGCTTACCTGAAACTTTAGCGCCTTACTCAGTTGGAGAATAATCGGATATTTATATCAACCTTGTTTCTGTCCATAACAGTTCTCAATTTAGACTACTTCAATAACACAATTATTATTGTTACATGTAGTCATCGAACATTATCGTAAGCAACTTTTATCAGAAATTTAAAGATAAATGGGAAAATTAATAATGAATACATAATTTACTGAGTTTGTGTAACCTTCACAATTTAATCACACTATGGTAAAGAGAACTGAAACTCAGCTGTCCAGTTATTAATACTCAGATGCAAAGCTGTTGAATAGGTGGTAGTCTATTTGAAATATCCACTCAAGATTATTTATAAGTACCACTGGCAACCTGCTAATCATAACTATCTTAAATGATCGTACGAAAATTGCTTATCCTTCAAAAATGGATTAACAGCAATAGACTTTAGACTGACGGAAATATTCAACATTGAGCTTACTATAGATCTATTTCGAAATGTTCGGTTTGTTTTCTGTTTGCTAAGGGAATGGATAAAAAGTTTTTAACTATTGCGACAATTTTGAGCGGTAAGCGAAAAAAATTAAACCCAACACATAACTAGTGAAGGAATGGTAAACCGATGAACATAACCAAGTATATGTGCACTCAAACACAATTAAAAACATAATTGTGTACAAAAGTAAGAGCTTTTATATGAAACACATATGGGGTAGACAGCTTGTGTCAGCGTTTGTGGAATTAAGTAAAGCGAAAATGAGAATATATTTGGAAAACTGATTTAGATTAAAGGTTATCAAAAGTAGCAAGCAACTGTCCCATAAAAATGAAATACAAAGAAATACAAGTAAAGAAATTAATAAATACAACTGACTGATTGTTTAGAAGAACTGAAATGCAATAACGGATGTATGGATTTTACTTATACTGATTTGTCCGATTTGAAACTGGATTTTCCCAAACTAATGGGATCAGTTTGCGTTCGCTTAATTTATCAGTAGCTGATACATTAGAATGATGACAAAACTGGGTAGAATGAGAATAATGAATTAACGGCATAGATAACCGGGATCGATTAATATAAGCGCATCGAGAATGCTCATTCTCTAGCTCACTTAATCCCATATTTTCAGCTTCTGAAGGAGGGGATGAAGTAGAACAAGCTGAAAGAGAAGCGGACGTTGTAGGTTTACAATTACGATCAAAGCTTACGCTATTATTTACAAAAACCATGGAGGTAGATAGAGAGGGAATATCAACAGAAGTTAGTGAAGACTGATTAGACGAGTTAAGATGTGGGTGGATATACATACTAGTCGCTAGTGGAAGTAATACAGTCGTGTTGACTGGTGTTGTAGAAGAGGAATGTAATTGATGGACAAGATGAACCGGTACTTCACGAACGGGACTTTCAGGGGGCTCTATATCACCTTCTAACACAGCATTTGATAGTTGCACAGTTCCAGGTTCAAAGCAAGCTTGAAGAATCTGATATGCTTCACGCATTTTGCGCTGTAAATAGAAAATAAAAAACTTAGTATGTTAGATAATCTAATTAAATATAGATTTGTTTTTGCAGCTTTAAAAATACAGATTTCAACAACTCAAAATTTTTTATCATGGTTCTTAAAATAGAAATCCATAATCCTTAACAATGAATGCTGACAATAATTGATTACATGACAATGGTCTAAATACTTTGGATCAACATTTTTACTTAGGCCAGTTCAACTGACCTGCTGCTCCTGCAACACCGGTCAGACTGTTCTGCCCTCCATGGCCGGTGACGACTGATCTACCAAATGAGGCAGATGTATACAAGGAGCTCCAACTCTTGAAGCGCTACAAACTACCGGGCCCAGATGACTTACCTCCGGCTCTTTTTAAAGATGGTGGTGACTAAGTAACTGACTGTGTTGTTTACAAAGGTCTGGGAACTAGAGAGTGTACCGACGTCATGGAATACGTCGATAGTTGTCCCTATCTTTAAAAAGGGTTCACATCGTTCCTGTAACAACTATCGGGGGATAAGTTTACTTCCGATTGCGTCCAAGCTATTGGCTTCCGTCATACTTCGTAGGTTGTTCAAAGCCCGAGAAAGATTGACTCGCGAGGAGCAGGCTGGGTTTCGTTCTGGTCGAGGATGTATTGATCATATCTTCACCCTCCGCCAAATGTTAGAACACCGCCATACTTATCAAAGGCCAACAATCGTAGTGTTTCTTGACATCAGGGCTGCCTTCGATTCGTTGGATAGGACTGTTCTCTGGGATTGTCTATTGAAGAAGGGTGTGCCTGAGAAGTTTATTAACATCCTAAAAGCCCTATATACAAACACCTCAGGCAGAGTGAGGGCATACAACCACCTCTCTCCATTGTTCCATTCGAGCAGTGGGGTTAGGCAGGGTTGCCCAATCTTCAACTTTGCCATCGATGACATTCTGGAAACAGCTCTGATGTATGTAAGTAATGGCGATGTGGATCTATTGCCTGGAGAAAGACTCCTCGATCTTGCGTCATTTATGCCAGCTTTTGCCAACTTGCGTCATTTATGGCGTAGGTGAGATATCCGTCTATCAACCAAAGGACGTGTTTACTGCGCAGCAGTTCGTTCCGTCCTACTTCATAGCAGTGAAAAATGGCCGGTGAGAGTAGAGGATATCCGTAGGTTACTAGTATTTGATCATAGGTGTCTTCGAAATATTGCTCGTATATCCTGGGACCATCGAGTAAGTAACGCAGTTGTTAGGAAACGAGTACTAGGTGAGGATGGCAAATCAATTGATGACGTAGTGAAACTTCATCAGTTGAGATGACTGGGACATGTGTTACGTGTGCTCAACCACCGACTGCCTCGGCGTGCGATGTTCAGTGGTATAGGAGTAGATTGGAAGAAAGCTAGGGGCGGCCAGACCAAAACATGGCACAAGTCTGTGAAGTCACTGACAAGTAGACTGAGTCATGTTGGTAGGTGTAGACTATCTGGTTGGGGACCGCGAGATGATAGTAACCGATGGTTAGAGATCTTGAATGACATGGTTCAAAATCGTTTGCAATGGTGCAGGTGCATCTATTCTTTGTGTTCTCCCAAATTCTAATCTTCTGAATTCTTCATGTCCCTTTCTTTTTTCTCTTTCCAAATTTATTTCACTGAATTATACTCCTTGAATAACATCTTCAAACCCTAATTTTTCTGATTACAGCTTATAATTTAGCTACATCTAGCACTACGGGATTTGAATCGACCACTGCATCTCTGTGCAAATGGGGTGTGGCAACTCGAACTGATGTACGTACGTACGAAATTCTACGTTGTTACTGACTGACGTACCTCGACCTTGGGCATGCGGATGACATTTTCTTACTGTGCGATAATGCCCAAGGCATGCAATCCGCACTTAATCAGTTGGCAATCCGTGTCCGTAGGTACGGTATGTGCTTTGCACCTTCGAAGTGCAAAGTACTTCTACAAGACTGGAGGGATTCTAATCCTGTACTCACCCTGGATAGTGAGCAGATAGAAGTAGTCGAGAAGTTCGTATACATAGGTAGCTGCATAAGTGCTGGTGGTGGCGTGAGTGATGAGATCAATTCACGTATAGTCAAAGCACGAGCGGCTTATGCAAATCTAGGCCACATTTGGTGCCTTCGTGATGTTAGTCTGGCTGTAAAAGGTCGGATCTACAACGCGTCGGTGAAAGCAGTTTTGATCTATGCTTGTGAGGATGTTAGACGACTCTCTATGCTTGATCATCGTTGTCTCCGAAGGATTGCTAACATCCAGTGGCAACATCATGTTAGTAATGCAGAGGTTCGGCAACGTGTGTTCGGGCACAGAGACTATAATCCAATTAGTGTCACTATCTTGAAACATCAACTTCGGTGGCTTGGACATGTCCTACGAATGTCGTCCCAGAGAATTCCACGTCGTGCATTATTTGGCGATTCTGGGACTGGTTGAAAGAAGCGGAGAGGTGGTCAGTGTATGAAGGAAAGCTGCAAAGGACTGACTTCTGTTGGTCCTTCACGACTCCCTGGTTGGGGTCTGAGAGATGGTGCTACACAGTGGCTAGAGACGTTATCAGATATGGCTCAGAATAGAAGCCAGTGGCGATCCTCCTGTAACCTTCTTTTACTTTCTTCATAAAAAGTGGTTGTATCTTTCTTAACTGAAAAGATTTTTCTGGTTGTACCTTTCCGTTTCCCCCATTATTATTATTACCACACTACCTTACACTAATCTGGTCGTTATTGTTCTTCTTTTTTTCTGTCACGCTTATTACCTTCTTTTTCTTTCCCCATTCTCATTGTTTTGTGTGGCGCATATATATTTGGTGCTCTCTTGTATCAATATTTGTGTTCAAATAAAACTTAGGGAACCCCGAAATTTCCGAATCTTGACAAACTTCGTGAACAAATACTGTATTTTGTGTAGTATGGTGTTTAATTTAATTAAGCAGTATTTTTTTAATTTTTAAATGTGCAAGGAATTAATAATTGTAGTTTAGAAAATATGTAACCCATAGTTGGTACTTTTTAAAACCTGAACGAGTGAGCGTCTAAGTTACATCTGTCAATTTATCAATGACTAGAATTTGAAATACTGAGCACTTTAACGATGTAATCAAATCATGAGAAGTGTTTTTCCAGAAGTATGGAAACATGTGAGCTATGAATTAAAAGACTGTATTTGTGAGCGTAGATGTGGAGCATAGTAATAAAAATATCGTCGGCACCACTAAAGAAAGAAACGTATGCATGGGTGAGATGTATTTTAAAGGATCATCTCGTTACAATGATGTCCTTAAGCGATGCGAAGTTGTAACTATCCAGAAACAATGAAAGGTATCGAACTAACAGGCAATATTTGCGAATAAGTAATACGTTAAATGTTTATCGTATCAGATAGTAGGAATCTATTATTAGTAGAGTAACCTTACACAAGTTATTGTTATAGATTTTGGCGGATTTACTGGAACAAGTCAAAGCGTTTAAACTTCACACCAGGCTTCATTAAATGAAGTGGAGAAATCAAACGTTTTATTTCAAAGAACTTGGATAACGGGCTTTACGAGTTACTTCAAAATTTTTGTAACATGCTACTTAAAGAAAAATATATGGATGAGAAAAGAGTAATTTAAGATGCCTCTAAGAATAAATAGTCAAATTTTTAAATATGTTTTCTAATGTGTTAACTATACTCGATGAAATTTCGAAAAGAAGCTATCAGGCTGAGTATAATAAAGGATAGTCTTCCAAATAAAATTGAAATAATAACTTATTTCAATAAATACAACTGATTGGGTTTTGATTCAAAAATATCATATTGATGTTAAGCGAAAAATTTTGATTTGCAAAATATCACAGATTTGATACAAATTAATTGTTCGGCAAACATTTGTTACATGTTTAGTTATTCTGAGTTTTGCGAAGATTATAGTTGAGATTCAGATCGCACTTGTTTGGAGACTTATATCCATGTGTAGAATTGCAGAATACATAATGAGAAATATGTACAAATGATCACTTAACTTTATTAAGAGAATATTTATTTATTGGTACTCTCGAAGTACTAAAATAAAATGTAAAACCATTAATAATACATTTAAAAAGAACTCACTGCTTCAAGCCTTAAAATTCGCTGAATACGGGTGACTGATCTGATAGCAGTATCACTTAAATCCCGATGTACAGTTAGATTCAAAGCATAAAGAATACATGCGGCTGCTATATAGCTGGGCATATAAGTACTAATTTCTTCAACTAAAAAATAGAAAAAAATTACTGACAATAAGACTTATCGGAATAAGTCATCGGATAAATGCATTGAAATCCTAATAAGACGTGCTGCTGACACTGAAAATTCGACCTGACTTTAAATACAACAATCAACTAGATTTAATCCAGGTTACTGTGTGGAGAATGATTGAATGCTAAGTTAGTTGATAAAAACATATTTGATATGAAACAATATCGGTTCACAATGTTATTACATTGAGTAGCGCAGGCATAGAAAACTAGAAATCGCAAGATTGAACCAGTATAACGATGAGATAGTAAAGCATAACCATGCAGCACTGAATGCCTTATTATATTTAGAAAATTAACAGGTTTGTGATCTAAAGGATTATAAAGTGAATGAATGTATGTCACCGACAATGATCTTCAAACAATTGTCCGGGGTCCAACAAAATCCAGTAAGAAAGTCTTTCACCGTCCATATGACCAGTGATTTCATGAACTGATATTGTGTAGTGTCAGCGATAAGTCATGATATATAAAACGAATATGAGATGTGCATTGGTTCGAATTGTTGCACATATCATTATGATGAGGAAAAGTCAAAATAATGTCAAACAGGAAATATAATTGGGGAACACTAAAGACTCAAGGATGAAAAGCATAGATACTAGAAAATCAATGTTTGAAACGTGGTGAAAATTTACTACATTTGAGTCACTCCAGACGGTTTAAATCGTCACATATAGATTTTGCAAAAAATAACATGGGAACTGAAAACTACTTACTATTACACATCACAACAGCTTTTTTCCACTCATGCTATTCTTTTCAGTGCTTACGGTTATTGCGTACGTTCGCGCTCAGCTTATAACCTGATAAAGTCAACTACGTCTAAATTTTGGTGTTATTAAGGTTGTCTTGATTTATCAACGTTTGTCGTATTTTACTAATAGGTCCAACTAGTGCCAGACGGAAGATTACCATTGAATTTCTTTCTGATTATTTGGCTTTTTACATATAAACGGAGCACAGATAGATATATTTCCTCAGTGAAGTTAAAATAGCTACATATAAATGGGTGCATCAGCTGTATAAGACTTGAAACAATTTCCCGAAAAACCGGAACTACTACTTGTATCATAATTAGCACTGATTTGCTTATATCTATCCCTGGATTGAATTGAACGTAGATGACAGAAATGATACAAAAATCAACTTCGTGAAGGGACTAGAGGACCATAAGGCGTCCTGGTGCTCTCACGTTGGAACATCTCGAGGTACGAAAATGAGTTCAGAGTGCAAAGAAGTCACATGGGATCAATAGTCTAAGTATGAATATTTAGAAACAATCTACAAAATCATGTGAACTGATCCGGAGCGACATGGGATGTAATGATTCTCCAATCCCATCTTTTTTCTGAGGTAACATGTTCGATACTACTCGCAGAACACGTTAACTGCAACGTTACAATAGCACTTGATGGCACTACGACGGTCTCGCACTTGAAGCTTTTGGTTTCCCAGCTAATTCCGTTACCTCTGGCCTGTTTATCATGAGCGGTGAATACTTGAAGGATTAGTTTGAATGTGATAAAATTGCAACATCAGGTGGGTACGGTTTGCTTCAGACGATTTGACACTGGGTGTCAAGATTCACTGAGGTATAGATATTAGGAAAATTTTACGAATGGCAAGACACTGATTGCAAGTTTATAATTACTAACCTGACACTTGGAAAGAAGCATGAACTACCTGTAAGGTGTTCAAATGATAGGGTAAATTAATCTTGGATAGCAGCTTTTTTTAATTAGTGATCAATCACTAACAGTGGTGTGACAGCAAAACGCCTAAGTGCGTTTCGTTATGGCACTTAGAGAAACTAGCAGGGTAAGGTTTCATACGTTTACAGCAAAACTTACGAGACCTCCTATAGTTTGAAAGTCAATATTAACAGAACATGATCAAAGAAAAACTTAAGGCCTTAGTATTGTGAAATTTATTTATGAGCTTAGTGTCATACATAAATATGAGGCTAGACTCAATCCAAAGTAACTGCTTAGTGTTGAAAATCACGTCAGGTGAAAACCGGGTAGTTTTAGTCATACTAGTAACGAAGCTGATAGCTTTTCCGCAACGCTAATTTCGATATATTTACCAATTACGCGTCAAATACATATGCACAGAACCGTCGCAACTAACCAGTTTTTCTAAGATAAAGCCTTGGTTCGTTAAAAAAATCTAGGGTGTAAAAATGTGTCAAGCCAAGATGACAAGCGACTTATATTCAGACATTAATATCCGACTAGGGTATTTGAAGCATCGGATGTGAAACTTGGAAATACTATTATATTTCATCATTGTAGGCAATTAGACAATGTACTGCTCAGATATTAGAGACAACTGCACTGAGCAAACACTTGCGAATACATTTAGCTAAATACTGCTGGAACAGAAATAATGCAAATTAAGTTTTGAAGTAACTGCTTGTGTTAGCACAAGTGAAAAATGTGACGTAATATTCCACACAAAATAACCAGATTCTATCAAATAGTAAGGGAATCTAAATAATACAAAGAGTATACAATATAATTCTTACCGTGAAAAGCCTTAATATATATACAAAGTGCAGCCTGACGAATAATTTGACGCAAGCTAGGTACGAACTCAAGGAACTCAACCACAGGAGCGACAAAATCTACCGGGGTAATGCAAGTCAGGTCCCACATGAGTGATATACACACTGTAAGTTCTTTGGCCTGAAGTATAAGTGGATGAGAAAAAAAGCCTTACTAAGACATCCTGTTCTGTCAGTGAATTGGCTGTGTATTCTGTGACTTTTCTTAAGGCTATAGGTACAGTTTCTTTCAGTTTGCTAGAGATGAAGAAGCACGTTGCACCCACAAGTTGGTACTCATTTTGCTCAGTTGGCACTATGTGCATATAACGGTCAATCAGCTGTGCTGTGTGTGCTAGAACTTCACCATCAGTCCCACGATGGATACAGATCTATGATAGTTGTAAGAATCTAATACATCAACCTACATCTCGAAGCCAATTAAGAAGAGATCGTCTCATCCATGTGGTTCTTGCAGGAGATTGTGAAACACAGAAACCAGGAGTGCTGTGATATCGTTTCTCATCAATTAATAAATCCTCAATAACTCTTAGGTTTCGTGTAAAAAACGGATCATATTTCGCTTGTGCGACGGTTACAGGTCCTTCAGATGAATTAGTACAGTGATCGCTTGTATCTTGACCAGATACATCCATAAGTATAACTAAAACCTTTACAAACCATCCAGAACGTTGCTCAGATGGTTGAACGCTGCGCAACTAACTGACGATCAGATTTCTCCGAGGCGTTAAAACAAGGCGAGTATTATGACCTTCGTTGTACGTGTTAAGAATAATTTTGATATACTGCTAACGAATATTGAGTACTCACGACTTTTGTATGTACCATTTACGATGTTCGAAAATTCAGTACCTCAGTATGCGTTCCTCCAAAGAATCCAGATCATGCTAATAAGTTTAACACTAGAGATGAGACATGATAGTGAGTATATACCCCTCAAAAAGTTTCATTAATCTTCAGCATTGATTCTAGCATCATTGGTTTTACTGGATATACCTAGCTGAAGGCGTTCGGCTACATATCAGCACTGGATCAACAGTGGACACGTCGCGCTACGTATCCTTCACAATAACGTTAGGAATATTACTTCTGTATTGTGGGATATTATTTACCCAGTTAAATATTTTATCCTCATTATGACTGGACAGACACAGGAGCTGTTTAAGATTGATACTTTTTCGCCTCACACCCTTCAACTCATGTCATTCTTGCTCGATAATATCGAAGTGTGGTTCAGCTACATAGGATCTGACTCACAAGAGCACGGCGAGATAGACTCACTTGCTCTATTCGTCACAGTAATGAAGGTACTACCACGTGGTTTTAGCAGGTACGTCACACCTATTATGTATACTGGTGATAATTCTGAACTTAACAAAACTATAAGGGAGGCGATCCCTATACATGTACAACTAACTGACCGGCAAATTTTAGACCAACTCTTCCACAACATCGAGTGACAACACGACCCAGCAACAGAAATGATGCTACATATGCGAGAGGTCATTACTCAACAGACATTTGATGAGGGCATATTTAGACAGCTTTGCTTCTAAAATCTCACCCAACAGGTGCAAGTGGTTCCTACAGCGTTCCGAATAACGCTGTAGACAAGCTGGCTTCATCCGCTGACTGGAGTCTGGAGATCGCTAGGACTCTCAACATCAAGGTTTGTTCTGTCAAGGAAAAGCCTCAAACGACATAAAATGACATTAGAGGTCTTTGGAATTCTCCTGCTCGTCATCTTCATATTCATCATGACCACAAACGCTTCCGGATTCCAAGGAGAATCGCGTCATGAGGAAGATGTGTTTCTCGACCACGGGAGACAGATAACCCTGATTGATGTTGGTACGATAACACCCATTTCAAGTCTTCTAGAAATTGTTGGGGACTATGCAGTGTCCCAGTCTCTGTACCGTCTGACACGACGAACCCTCGTGGAATATTCGCTCATTGGATTTTGTTAACGGAGACTGTATTTGCTCGAGCATTTCTCATGCAAATAATCTCCGATAGGGACAACAACGATCGCTTCCCAACTGGTGATTGTTGACGACTGAATATGAAGATAATTTCCGATCGTTACCCTTTAGTGTATACCCATAACATAACAAACACCGTAAAAAGTTTGACTGCCTTTTGAAGATCGACCTGGTTTAAATGTATATTAATACTCTTGATGTCTATAGTATCTTTATTTTCGTTGTCATATCAGTAACAAAGAGGGATAACTATAAACAAAAACTAAGGTTACCATTGGTAAGTGCTTGTGGGATGGCTAAACGAACTAGAAATAATCGTACTAAGTTTCAGGTTAAGAAATCTGAAAAGTTCTCTAAATTTCCTAGACTTGGTGGTATTAAGACCGTTTAAGTTTTTCACGTGATCCGTTTCAACAGGAAATTTTTTCAATTTTCACGTCGTTCGTGGTTAGTTTACTGATCGAGACTCAAGTGTTCAATTCTCAATAGAACATTCCGAACTCCAATCACAAAAGGTCTGGGATTTTTTTTCATCGTAGAGTAAGGAGATGTATATACTTAACTGTAACCAGCAACCGCGAAGATACATCGGGGAGGTTTTAAAACTGATAAAAAAACTCATGTCGATAAATTGAGCTGAGTTTGATATAAACCGGATAGTAATTTTAAGGGATGCGTAGCACGACGTATCCATCGGCGATTTGGTGCTGATGTGTGACCGAGCTCCATCGGCTAGGTATATCCAGTAAAACCAATGAGGTCAGCATCATTACTAAATACTTAAGAAACAATTGATTTTGAAAATTTATTTGCCGCTACAAGTGTTTGTCATCTCGTCGATATTGAGACAGTAGCTAGCATTATTCATACGAAATCAAACTATTGTCTGCAAAAGCCCGTACTCGATCTCCAGGCTATGGACGAGAAACCAACCATCATATGCAGTAAAGGAATTTTTTATTTGAAGGCGGTTTCGAGCGAATCCATTAACTAAATTTCTGTTTTTGAGGATTCTTCAGTGCATATGCTTGTTATAGATCTGACAGAACATCACAAATTTGTCGTCATTCCGAAAATTGAATGATAGTGGACTGGCATATTAAGTTTTGTTGAAGGTACATTCCTTTTGTTCGTACACTGTTACCAGTTCAGGTTTGAACATGCTGTCAACTTACACTTACAACGGATACTAAAGTGGTATTCAGAACTATACAAACTGTTGCCGAAAATGCAATATGTAACAAGCGACGTTACTTACCACATCACAGCTGTCGGCAACTACTTTCGACTTTTATTACATCATTCAAAAACACTACTGCATAGAATCTCACTACACTAACGACCTATTTTTATTGATTCGTCATTTATGAATATGTTAACAGTTATGGTTATTCTATTTCTACAAATATTATTATTATTAATGGCTTTATCCAATATTATATTTTGGTACAATATAGAATTCTCAGCACAGGGTATTTCAACAAGTTACTTACGCAAAAAACAGTAACAAATACAAAAAAGGGCTTAAAAAACCCCGAAAAACTGTACAACTTTTAAAATGAGAGACATGTTAAGAAGGCAGTTTATTGACTAGGTTAACTCTAACAACACGTTCGTCACAGAGAATATTTGTTAGATAAGGTATTATAGAACTTTTACACTTTTGCTTGCGCGCATGGATTTTAATGTAATTACGTCTCTTTCTACTAGAAGATATACAAGAAGAAAGATATGTATGAAGGGGATGACTAGTATCTGATAAAATAACACCTGCCAGGAGTTTGCATGATTTTAGATGTCTATCCACAACCATATTAATTATGACCTCGAAAGATTCACCACACATCTTGCTAACTGCCTTCAGCACTATCCGCAATACAGTAATGTCTTTTCTCAGAAGCCCGGGAAAGAATAATGGAGAACAGTAAAGAATAATAGATAATATGCAAGAATTTACAAATTGTATGAGTCAGTGACGAGTAATCCCAAGGGCATGTAATCTCTTTGTGTAGTAAGTCAGACGGAAAACCTTCTTCGATAACGATAAAACGTGAGTAAACCAAGAGAGATCAGAGGAAAAGGTGACGCCAAGATAATTGACCTTCGACACTGTGTTTATCAACGAGTCTCCAACGACACAAGCATTATGGGATCTCAAAATGGTGTTTAGATGCCCTTCATGTCTCATGCTAAAGTTAACAGCTTGACATTTAGACGGATTAAGTATGAGATCACTACCAACAGACCAACAACCAATACGAGACAAAAACTCATTCATTTCTATGGGATGTAAAGAGGAAGAGATAGGCATACATACAGTGAGATCATCCGAATATTTCACAAAAGTGTTTTCTGTGGGAGATGGCAGATCATGCAGAAAAAAAAAGAGAAAAGAAGAGGTGAAAGAACAGCTCCTTGTGGTACACCTTCATGAGACAGTAGAGACTCTGAACACTTCCCTCCAAATACAGTATACTGTTCCCTTCCAGAGAGGTAGGAACATAGCCAGTTGATTATCCAGCTGTCAGTGTTGACGCTGATTAACTTGTTAAATAAACGTTGTCTTGGTATAGAATCGAAAGCTGAAGTATAGTCCAGAAAAGCACATCGAACATACTTCTGACCCTTTTCTAAGTTGAACACCATGTTGTGATGCAGAACAGCAACAGCATCTAAGGTGCTTCTTTTGCATCTGTAAGCAAACTGATATGGATCAATATGCTCTTTTATCGCAGGCTGAATTGGAAGTGTTAATCATTTTTCCATTGTTTCGAGGAAAGGTGAAGTTATTGTAATAGGTCTAAATTTCACATTCTTATCACCAGATGCTTTTTCGGGTACAGGAATTATCTTCATCTTTCTCCACATTTTCGGTATGAGATTAGATGAGAAGGATCTGTTAAAGATATCTGTGAACGGATAAAATAGGACGTCAGTACACTTTTTAAAAAGGATGTCTGGGATACCATCAGGTCCCAAACATCGAGATGAATTAAGCGACTGGAGACATCCTCGTACATCAGTTTCAGTGAAAGTAGGAACACAGCTAGTTTTTAAACCTGTGGATAGAGGGAGCATCACATCAGATGACTGACGTGCAAAAGACTTATTTAAGTCACAAACATTCAGCTGGTTATCGCTTCTAAACTGTCTGTCACCTGTAAGTTCTTCAAAGAATTTCCACATACTTGGAGAGTTTTTGCAAGATAAGAGCTTTTGAGTAAACATGCAGTTGAGACGTCCAATCTCTAGGTTTATCAGACCATTTAGCTTACGAACTTCATTAGAGTTCTTCTCCCTGTACATTCTTTCTTTCATCCTCCGTAGTCGTTTTAGTTGTGGAGATGTAAGTCGATCAAAACTTACAAAAATGGTTTCAGTGGGACAACAAATATCAGAACAGAATTTAAGGTAACAAGTGATAACATCAGTAGTGTTTTCCAGTGAGTCATTTGTAAATAGTTCCCAGTTAGTCGTATGAAACATGGTTTTCAGGTTTCGGATATTTTCTTCTGAGTAATTCCTATATTTGACTTTCTTGGTTTCCATATACTTAAGGTAGAACACGAATTATACAGTGATCTGAGCTAGACAATGAAGCACGTTTACGAGTCGCATATATACCCACATCATTAATGAAGACGAAGTCTAGATGAGCATCCAGACGGGTACAAAAATCTACTACCTTTCGGTGACCTAGTGACGTAGGGAATCTACAGTCACATGAATTGAAATCACCACATACAACTGAAAGTGAATCGCTGAAGGCAGTAACAGCGAACTCAGTGAATTCATCAGCAAAAACAGATAGTGCAGATGATGTGCAATCTGGAGTCACGTAGATATTGGTAACATAAACATATTTGTATTTATTCAGATGTTTTGGACGACATCTAAGAGTTAGACAGTCGATAAAGTCATTTGAAAACTTAAAACACACAAACGAAGATCGACACTAGTTTATGTTTACAAACGCAGCTACACCGCCACCACACCTTTTTTTGTTGTTTGATCGACGCTAATGATAAATTTTGAAATCACGTAGTGATACTAGGCAGTCATCCTGTAAATTATTTAACCAAGATTCTTGAATTGTGATGATACCACAATTGCGATACATATTTTGACTTAGGGGGAATCGCAGATAGTCCACTTTGTTGATTAGTGATCGGCAGTTAGAATTTAGCAGCTCGGGAATCGACATACGATTAATGTTCATTCTCTTAAACGCATATTAGCAACCACCGCGATGTCTTTCATAGTACTTTTTTGCAACTTGTGCAGCGAAAGGTCAAAGGCTTTTCATAAAAGCGCCTGAATAGGTTATGCGATTAATGGACATAATGATAAGTTAAAACAAATGAAAAACACATAACTTGTTGAAATAATTAGATTGAAGAAACATGATTATTAATTTACTTATATATTTCACTTTCTTTCATTTTGTTCTTCAAATTCAACGCAACATTATTCTTAATTCTACAGAATCTTCTTAAATTTAGGGGAGATTCTATGAACAATTTTGATGATTGTGTACAATCGCATCTCTGTATAGGCTCGGAAATGGTTTCTTTACAACAATTATGTAACGAGAAGCTGTCTACGATTATTCGCGATAGTAACTACAGCGTAACCTGGAAATTTTAAATTATCCTGAGTTCTAAAGATTTGGAATGGAAAGAAACAAATTCGAATAGATGTTGATCCTGGAGGTTGTCCGGAAATCAAACGGTTCATAGTTTTCTCGGTTGTATATGACTTTTAGAAATGGTCGGAAATAATTGACATATTTATGGCGGTTACTACAAAAATCAGCTCAGACCCTAATTCTTTGACACATTCACGACTTAACCGCTGACTTGAAAAGTATGATTGTCTTTCCACTGGTCTTCATTAAGATAAATAATTGTCAATGGAGATGAGGTGTTGAACCATTTGTCTTTTTTGGTTCTGTGGATATTTCGCTTCCTGGAGCCATTATCACCAAATTGTGACCTCGCTCGTGATTGGAATTCAGAGTCGGGGATAATATATCTAATGAAAGTATGAAGACATTCTTATTGTTTAGAGAGCTGTAATTGACATCAGTGCTGCCATTACCAAATAAACTAATTCTGTTTTGGCAGTTGGAGATAGTTAAATACATTCTATTTAATTCGCTATAGAGACGTCGATACTCCAACTGCGAAGATAACCATATTCCGATCTCTAACCACGACCTTATTTAGATTGCGATTATCACCCGTCTGCCTTTCGGATCAGGACATATGGCGTCAAAATGTAAACGAACCATCAGTTACGTTCTCAAAATTTTTGCATGCTCACATCTCATCTCCAGCATCTGAAATTTGTTCTTCAATGAATCAAGCAATATGGAACTACTAGGAATATCTAGAAATACCAGAAAAGAGCAACGTATGTGAACGTTTTTGATCAAATCACCGTCGCTGAATGTTCCTACTCTTTGAAGCACAAGATGAGGGTGTAGTGTCCGTCGACAAAAGTAATATGTAACACTGATTCAAAGTGGAATGCCTGGAAGTAGAAGGTTGGAAAGATCGATTTGAACAGAACGGTAATGTAGGCAGACAATAATTGTAATAGCAATGAAGGAACGATGGATTTTGAGACAACTGATGAGAGATTTGCAGGTGAAGTGTTTAGTGTGTGGTTTTTGACATTTTGCTGAAGAACTTTGTAACTTCGCATTAAGTAATTAATTGGTTGTCCCCATATGAGTGTTTCTCCACTACAATGTCGATTCTGAGTTGCAAAGAGGTGACCTCTATCAGACAACCATGAGGTTTTAACGAATGTGTAAGTTTTTATAAGTGGCTCCTACCGAAATTTGAAATGTTTTTGTGGTTGTTACCAGATCAATTTGGTATGCGAGCAAGGATAACCGAATTGGACGAATGTGAAGAAAGCACCGACCACAGTAGTGTATGACATCGTCATGTAAGTAGTACTCATGACGACACCAAGTATCCGTTAGCATCGTCTCAGATTTACCTGACTCAGAAGCCGGAATATTCTAGTGATGAGCAGATGAGACTTGACAGCTTTCGAGATAATTTTAAGCCGCTGGACTGATGTATGGCACTTTTGGTAGGAAGCTTTTAGCTGTGCACTGTTTTATAGGACACTCTATAGAGTCTCGACTGTTCTATATCATTATCAGCCGCGAACGACTGATTTCTCATAAGCTCACTTGCTGACAGGTATGGTTCTTGAAAATTACACCAATTAGACCATATCTTGCAATCAAGCTCAAATTCTTCACATATTTCAAGGGCAAAAGATCTATTTTGTGGAAGTTTTGTAACTGATAAGTCCGTCAGAATAATTCTAAAGAATCAACGTGCTCAAACCCACCTAGTTTCGGGAGGTCATTGATATGAACTAACGTCAACAATCCTAAAGTTTCAGGTCAAACAGATAAATAGAAGAAAGAAGACCTTATTATGTTAAAAAACTTCCACATTAGGGTTCTGGAGAGAAATTCAAGCTCACAAAAGAAGGATTTTACTGGCCTGGTATGAAGAGAAATGCTGTGGTGTGGGAAAAATTCTATATAAACGTCAGAAATTTATAACTAGACGTATTCCTTTAGGCCCTTTCAGCAGTTCGATTCTCAGTTTGATCACTTTCATTTTGATTTGATGAGCTTGTAGTGGCACTGTACTCTAACCACACATCATGACAAATCCACAATTTTAGGATAAGTTCTATAACTGGAGCAGTACTAATAACGAAGTAGGCCGTATATTGAGCGAAGTTTTGTTTTTCTATAATACTCTGTTATAACTTGCTTGTGCATTAAAAACAGATCTGTAGGTCATTGGTAGGTCATTTCGTGTGCAGATGATAACAACTGGTTTCTAGTAGATTACTCATCACTTAGTTTGTTTCCTTAACGAAAGTTTGTTGTAAGTTAGAGCACGCTTTTGACTCTTTTCCTCTACATTGCTTTATGCATGTTTTATATTCGTAACTTATCAGTCTATTGTAGCAAATTTTTCGGATATAGAACTTGAAGTGATTGATTTGTCGCAGTGCAAAGCAACCTAAATTGGTTATTTAATTATATATGCAGATGTGGTAGTTTTTTCACAGTACTGCACAACGTATATCATTATATATCATGCCATACTGAGCTCTATTATATATTTTACAATATAAATTTCATCTTCCATAAAAATTAAGTTTTTCGGAAGTTAAACCGTGGACGTAATAGCACGATAGTTTTTTCGGTTCACAGTTCAGTCGGTTTCACTTCTTTTTTTAGCCACTTTCTGGTCTAATGTGACCATTCTTTAGTGACAGTAGATAAACTAGTTATCCATTTGTTTACGAGATCAAAATCTGTTCTTAAAGGTATTATCTAAACATCTGAGTAATAGGTCTGTGGCAGAGAGTGTCGTGTTCATCAATTTATACTTGCTTACTTAGTAGCACTTAAGTGTTCCATTAACAACTCAATTATTTACTGGAACTTGTCACTATTTTTTCTCATAGCAGGCAACGCCAAAGATTGTAGGTTTTTATTTGGATCTTCCGAAAGTATTCCACCGGAGCAATATATTGGTAAAAGATGAACCATAACATTTATCTTTGTTTTCAAGTTAATTCAAGTCGAAAAATCATTTATAATCGTATAGAAAAAAGTGATGGACTCAGTATTTCTAGTTAGATTATGATTATGTCACATAAAAAATGAATTTGTGAAACACTTCCGCTCCGCAACTCTAATATTTATTAACCTAAGTGTTATTGGTTCTGTAAAATATTTAATACTATAAAATATGAATTCTTTTGAAGTACTACATTTGGAATGATTGCATTATGAGGTTATATCTTTATATAAACTTCTTAAACTGAGCTTTTAAGTGTACAAAATTAAGCCTAGCTGACGAATTGTAACGGATAATTACAAGGCAATCATTTTTTAAATGATAGTTGTGTAAATGAGGGAAAAAGATGCCATTTGATAACCCTGTACAAATTCGTTTATTATAATTTAAACAACAAATATGATCAAAAACATGCTATCTATATATTTAAACTTGCGTTTAACGATGATTTGCTGATTACCATACATTTATCTGAACTGACAAGTGGAAGGTTATAATTAAGAGCAGTACTTAAGCTGGCCACACAAAACTACTATTGAATAATTAAAAGAATACATCATCCTTAGTATTTCAGCTTTATTTCTAGTTATCAGTCCACTTGTAGTTATTATTTTACTGGAAGGTCGAATTTTTAATGATATACTTAAGAGCTAACTTAGTTAATTCTGAAAGACTTTAACTTTATCTACGTTTTATTAAATCATTGGGTGCATTTATTCAAGTGAAATTTATGTCATATGAATAATTAATACTGAGATCTATTCTTTGTTACTTTCATATTATTAGTTAATCTCGGATGAATGGCTTGCCATAGTTGTTGTAATATCAATTTAAGGTTGTACGTGTTGTTTTGGCTCGAGTTTTGTCAATAGAACTGATAACTCAGTAAATTAGTCTTATTCTCAACGGTATTTAGTTGTTGTGGATCAAGTATAGCTGCTAAGCCGTCTCTATAAATAACTACATCTCAGCTCACTGTATTTGCAGTTAAGTGCCTGGAAGCAGTGTACGAAAGTTCTGAGCTATATTTCCATATTTGTTGACCTTCACTATATGCTTGTTGGAGTTTAACCAAAGGTGCATGTCTTTCAACGCATGACTTAGCTAATATTTTGTGAACACCACTACAGTCTCACATGGGATTCGTTATTTAAGAATCTGATTTGCATATAACGCATTGAAATCTTTAAATTAACGGAATAATTGGATGTATTTCTAATTAGTAAAACAAATTGCTAATGGTTCAGTGGTAGGGAAGTATTTAGTTTGTGGAAAGATGTGATTAACTTTATAATTCAAAATCGCAATCGTTTGTATTTATTATTCTTTTGCTATGCTTTCATTTTTCATTACTATTAGTTTCCCTCTTTCTGTTAATCAAAGGGATGTAACACCTGGAAGAGATGCACTGAGGTTTAAAATCCCATTTTGTTAAACTTTAATAAAAATCTAGTTTATTGGGTAACAAACAAGGTCAATCAGTGTTATCTAGTTTGTTAATCTTGTATTAGTCAAGAACTTGGATGCATTACCATTAACTTGGTTTTGGACGTTGAAGACAAACTTATTTTTTGAAAGTTGTTAAGCCTTTTATTTAATATTTCCTCAATTTAAAACGTTCCATATATATATTCAGTTGGCAACACAATTCCTGAACTCGATAGTATGTGGTGCGTCTTCCCATGTTTTGTTTCATTTTACAGTTACGTGGACAAAAACTGGTGTTGTTGATGAAATCAAAATCAAATTCTCTTCTGTCAGTATTTGATAATAGAAAGTTTGTACATGACTTCAGCAGTTTGACAAATAAGCTTGTAATCATCCTTTTTATTATGTCTTGCATGATTATTATCATCATTATTTTCTAATATTATTTGTAACAACATAAATAATTACACTTGACTGAAATTATAAGAAAGTGGTTTATAAAAACTTGTTTCACATAAAGAATAAGTGAAGGGTAACTGTTTCAAAGGGATTATTAGTTATGATATTATCGTATTGTTATTGTTGTTATTCACTGTACTTTTTCTGAAAGCTGGGCCATTTTAAAATGGGAAAAATATAAACACGACAAGTAGTTAATCTAAGAATATCTGCAACATTATAATAAAATTAGTTAAAGTACATACAAACCATTTTCTTGATCATTTCAAATGTTTATACGATAAGTGAGTGGAATTGAGTTTTGCTTCTTAGTGATCACATAATTTCACGGATGAAGTCCAGCATTGAAGACAGTAGCTGGGAATTCTTCGTTCTGGGTTACGCAACTCAGTAACGAGTTTTTTTGAAGGTCGCTTGCTCTTCTGAAACTTAAGTTTATCCAAAACTCGAATTATTCACTAATAAACTGGTGTGAAGCAGCTTCTTCAGGTAGTGTGTTGTGTACAAAAACCAACTACTTATCAAACTTTTCTATTTAAAAATGCAATGAAAGTCATTAAAATGGATAGGGTGGTAACAATCTACATTTCGTTTAGCATCCGATAAGTGGAAGTTAGCTGCATCATAACGCATAATCACACACCTATGGAATTTCGCCCTTTTAAGGACAACCCATAAAAATATAGTGTCGGACATAATTCAGAGCTACGGTTTGTCACTTATTATAGTATTTACAGCCTATTTGATCGATAGGCCATTAGTAATCATATGTATAGTGACGTTTAATTGGATATTTTTACAGATTCCGTTGGTTTACGTTTCTGTGTTTATTGAGATATATGCCACCTATATTTTTAGTATTTTATTTCGATGTACAAATAACTTTAATACGGTTGATTAATCACTGAGTAGAGGGCGGTATCATGTTTGTCTGGTCTTTTTAATGCTGTCCAAACTCTATGGGTCAAGGTGTATCGTAACCACTAGTTTGAGTGACTCAACATCACATGGACTGTGTTGAGATGTTAGGTAAAGTTTCAGACCGTGAGACTGGGTGACACGGGGTCGAATATCTCAAGGAGCACATGCTCATCCAATGTTACACGTAAATTTTGCTGACGAGTGTCAATCAGCACGAAACCTAAGTCCAGGGTTTGTTGTAGAATACCTCCAATAACCTAAAAAAACTTAACACAGTTAAATTAATGAAGATAGCCAATGAAAATAAACAGTCTATTGATTTTTACTTATTTTCATTATCATCATCACCGTTGTTATCACAATCGTTAGTGAATGCGATCACTATGTTTGCTATAACAAATGCGGCCCAGTTGTCAATAAATGTAATGGTGACAATTTTTATCACGATGATGGAATTTATAAGGGGATGATTAACAATTATTATTTAAATGGGGAATGAATTAAAACAGTATAGTTGCTTTCTAGATCTTTGTATTAGACACTTATAAGATAACTGGCGCGGATTACTAACAAGTGCGTCGTGGGAAGCAATCTTAGACCCTTGATAGTCGTGTAATTTTTTGCAATAAACGTTCAGATCATTGTTCTGTGTCCTACACCCGTTTGACCAGTTTTATTAAGTAGACAAATTCGATATCCATAAATAATTTAACCAATTAATCTTGATCAACAAATCATCATCAAAGCGTTAATCACTGTAAATAAAACAGTTTCAGCCTAAAATATGTCATTTAATTGTTCTTCTAAATGTATCGTCTTATTTTAGTATGATAACTATTTTTCAGAAATTTAAAACAGGTAGTCGCTTCTATGAATCTCGATCAGACAATGAGTTTAGATCAACTCCATCTTCTTATTGTTCTATCGAAATTTATGATAACTATGGTTGATTCGTTTCCGTTATTTGGTCAATGTCTAGATAGTTTAATCATGGATCTTAAATTAGTCTTGATTGTTTATTGGATAACTGAAGAAAATTTTAATAATTACATTGTATACTTTCGTATCTGTGTTGGTGAAGTAAATACATATAAAGTTGTTTTTGGGACTTACCTGATGAATCGTAAATTTTTTAGAATTAGATGACATCAATTTAATCGATACAGTTATCCGACTACGAGAATAGAAGATTTTTGCGGCAGTCTATTAATTCATTACTAATAAGCTGTCGATATAACGTCTTTCAAAGATTCATGCCATGAGTTGACTTATGTGACTTCTTGTTTCTGATTGCCCGACTTTAAAAACTTTTTAAATTGACTCATTTACCAGATACCTAGGTATGAACTACATTCTAATTAAGAAGGGTAATTATAATATTCGGTTGCTAAGACTGATCATGTCAATCATACCTTAATGTTTCTTCATCGAGTTTAACTTTCTAAAGTGTTCTGCTCTGAAAAATCAGTGAACATTTCAGTTTTATTAAAAGCATTCAGGATATGAGTATGAATTATTCAAAATTAAAAGTTCTTGCTGTTTTTGGATAATCTAGCTTTAATTCAATGGAGAAAAAAGATACTTTTATGAGCAACTATTTTCTTATACCTACATTTATGATGCTACATGACGAGCATTTGATTCATAGTTTTATAAATGTTTGCATCAGTGAAAATCTTTGGCATTTCTACTTTAGATATGTTGTTTACTAAGTGCTGGCTGAAAGTATACTCATATTTGGAGTTCAACTAAGTAACTAACATTACCTGCATAGATCGTATTTCATTTTTCATTGGAAAAAGTTAGGATTGAGTCTTTTCACGTCAAAGATTTGTAGTGTATGAAATGTTTCAGTTAAAGTGGTATATATTACTAAATTTACGTTGCCTGTTTTGTGTTTTGAGTGGGTAGGTTGAAAATATTTCCAGTGTGATTCGGTATTGAAAAATTAGAAGAAATCTAAAGATATTTACAGTGAATGCTTCTTGGGTGCTTATATCCACTTAATTACTTTTTCAACCATTGTTATGAATGACTTATCCTTCATCAGTTTCTGTTTTCATGGTTTCACTATTTTCACGTTTTTCCTCCTTTTTTTACTTCTCTTTTTTGTTACGATTAATACTATTACCCTCTGTAGAGTTCTTGATATCTATATTATTACACCACAACAAAAAGCTTTACTATTTCGGTTGTATTTATAAGCTGTATTATGCCAGTATTGTGTAGTAACTTTTCACGTTATTTTCACATATTTGTCTTTTTATTTTAATGATTTCGTTTCATTACTTTGGTGTGTAAAATGTGATAATTTTGAACAAATAAATGAATGATTATATTTCGAAATTCCGTTTCAGATCTTACGAGCATCATCGTGTCTGTATTTCTGACTGTAGTTATAATTCTTATGTGGAAAAGTAATTGTATTAAATAGTTAATAGCGATGTCAGTAACTTCGTACAAATTATGTTTTATCGTCAATTCCAGGTTTAAAAATAAAAAAACAGACACGACTTAGATTATTCAAGGCAAAAATAATGAGGCTTCAAGTGAATGGATATAACTCTTAAGAATAATAATAATAGTAATAATAATAACAATAATAATGATAATAATAATAATAATAGTAATAATAATAAAGATTTTGAATACTGAATGCCTAGACGTTTTTGAGGGCCGTTGTCTCTTACAATAAAATGTGTCTAAAGTGATTGCTAACTTAGTGATTCGAGTTCAGAACATTCATTTGTCTGTAGGTATCAGTACCAAGATTGGACTTGGTAGTTTTAAATAAATTGAGCGTCGGGTAGAAAGTAGTTAATGAATGTATTTTTCGTTACGTCCCAATGAGTAGAAAAGCTATATTTCTGACGTTATGTGACTTAATATAAGCCACTTCTGTTCAGCTGTTTGGTTGAGAGAGTTTATATTAAACTATTCAGAATATGAATAGTTGTAAAAAAGGATTAAATACCCATTTAAGGAATCACCCTTTTCTAGATTAAAAAAGTTTCATTGAGCATCATTGTTGACTTCCTTATGGTTCTTAGGTAAAATATTTTAAGAACTTTGTTTTCGTATTGCATGATAGTGTAAAACTCTAAAAAGTCATACTAGTATACCGTAGACTCAATGGACGAGTTATTTTTACAGTAAAATATGCATACACAGATAAAGATTGGGATGGAGTTTTCAAATTTTCACTGTAAATTTATCAACCTGTAAGTTGGAAAATTGTTTAGGATAAAGTAATGACTCATCAGTGAAATCGGAAACGAATCTTGCTAAGCTTTCAAGCTGACTGAAATTTAAAATATAACTGAATTTTTCCTGCTTTAAATATACTGTATTCACTACAAAACGTGTTAGTTGTGAGTTAATTCCTGTTTGGTGTTTTGATTACGTGATGCGCATAGATTCTGGAAACCAGGACAGTGTTGTTATTCAGTGTCTTTCCATTTTTAAGTGGTTTTCCTCGACTGATGCAAGTTCTTAAGGGAATCCGGCTTCAAACTATACAAAGTTTTTTTATAAAGCTGATTAATTTGTTTATAATTTTCGATGCAGTCAGTTTTGTTTTTACAGATAACTTCGACTTCATTGCTCTAATTTTGATTGCAGATAATATGTCGGTTAAAACAAGTTACAACTTCTCAAAATAATTACAAGTCATCTATCATTCCAATCATTTTTAAGCTATTTAACAGAATTTCAACATTCCATGACATTAAATAACAAGTAATAGCTGGTTTATACAGAAAAATTGCGCAAAAGTGATACGTTTACTGTGCAATTTGTGCAGTAATTGTAGTGGGCACAAAATGAGGCGATCGAGAACCGATCAAAAATCAGGATCATGGAGTCATATGGAGATCGATTTAACAAATAAAAGTAAGCAGTTTGTTATTGTACTTTTTTTCAAAAAGACTACGATTTTATCAACATAATTTTTACTTCTCAAAACATTTTGTTTCCACAAAATTTAATCTGTATTTACATCTTGCCTTCATTTCATTGTAATCCAGATTTGTTTCAAGTGAATTTCTTCTAACTGAGATGTATTTACAAAAAAAAATCAAATTCAGAGATATCTATATTGGATAAGCAAACTTTCGTGAAATTGTTTCATTTTCCTGTTTGTAACTTCATTTAAGAGACAACAATTTATACTTATAGTTGCCTATAATTTGTATGATCAGGTGATGTACAGCAGATATACCTAGTAGTCACGTGTATAAATCTGTACTTAATTTGTAAATTGCTTTTTTAAATAGCCGTGACGAAATTTTTATTTTGTTACTTACCTTATTAATAATTTACTATCCAGAATAAACCATTTACGTTTTGTGATGGTTGTTAATGATAATTCATTTATAATCCATCCTTGTTTTATTGTTCTGAAGTCTACAGTTCATTATCAGTATAGAAATTTTAAATACTTCAAATCATATCGAGAGATGTATTTACTACACAAAAAACACAACTATCACATGATAGTCAGAAAAATTTGTAGTTTACATCACTAACTGATTTAATTAGGTAATCAGTGAATACTAGAAAGTACTGGACTGCTATTTTTGTTCTGTGAGACTTCTCAGGGGTGTGTATCCACAACCTCACCGAGGATAAATACAGGATATTTAGGTTTCGGAATCATATCTTAATCTTTTGACTTCTGACGTTTCATCCATTAGTACTGTGATCAATGGAGTTCAACCATGTCGGGTGTGTAGCAATTATCCACTGAAGGCAGTGCGACCTGAATGAGTATTATCGTAAATGGGTAGAAGTTAGACAAGTACATAATTGGATTGAAGTCTAGATATTAAACACTTACCACGAAGTTTGAAGGTGCTGGGTTCGATCCTAAGTGGGTTCGTGAGTGAGAATTGTTCAAGAGTCCCATGCCAAAATGAAATAGCTGTCCAGTACTTCCCAGTTAGTCGTTAATACTATGATTATTTGGTTGTTGTAGTTATTTTTTCTGTTTTCACAATTTGTGTAATTCACTTTATCGTATTTTATGGTTTTCATGTTAGACACCTAAAAATACATGAATTATGTAGAAATTGATAAGTGTATATATAATCCTAAGTCAAAGCATGTATATTTTAGAAGAAAAATTGTTTGCATGAAATAGTATTGCTACCGTTTTTTTGTTGTTGAGCCAACACAGTTATATGGAAACATTGTATAATTAAATGATAATAATTTTCACAAAGAACTGATATTGTGCACCTACAATCTCAGGTAAGATTAATTCTAGGCCGTTCTAATCTCACAGACTGAATTTAATTTGATAATATGATTGAGTTGATGTCAGTTTTTTGTGGTCAGAATAACTTCTTATTAGTTGATTTTCCTTAAATCTGTTAAGTTATTTCTTAGTGTTAGTACAATGTAGGTAGGGAGAGATTAAAAAGGAAATGCTTTTAAAATGTACAATGGGATTTGAAATGCTCTACTTACCAACTTACACGTTTAGTATAAAAAATACAGTTGAAATGGTACAAGCGGTGTAAAAGGATGACAAAACTGGACTTAGAATAAAATAAAATAAAGCACGATGGACGTTATTGCTATTAACTCTTTAAGGTGGTTAATGCGTAGCATAAATGGGAGGAGAGGGAAAAAAGAAAGAATATCGTATATATATAACAAGATATCTTGTTGTTTACTATGGTAGTTGGTTGATAGCTGGGATGGTATGAGTTAAAGTACAAAATTCTGTGTAACATTTCGCGATCGTTATTCGTTTAACTAATACACTTTGTGAATGATATCATGTCAGACATATCAAAATGTCAGAATGTAATATTAATTGTTTGACTGAAAATGTTAGTATTTTTTGTATCTGATAAATCAGACAATTATCTAACTTGTTCCTTTAAAACTAGAACTAGTTAACTGAATTAGAAGCAAAACTCATGTACAAATATATATAATAGGCCTTTAGATTACATTCACGCTAAACTAACTACAGACTAGCTGTAATTCTATTTATTGAGAACACTGATAGGCATAAAAAAGGTTATTTATTACATTACATTTACTCAGAAAAAAATCAATAAAAGTTACATAATACGAAAAAATGTGATGTATAGATGCTTGAAGTCTAAATACAAAAGTATTTGGGAAAAAAGAAATAAGATGATGTAAACTATAAAAGATAAAAAACCCTGTTTATTAACATCTTTTTTCTGGTGCTTGAAAACAATCAAGTATACTTGAAAATTTTCTGGCGTATAAAAACTAGCATTATTAAATGAAGTATTTATTAGTTGAGTTTGAAAATTATTGACAAGATAATACAGAATATGATAAATGATCTAGTCTTGCCTACCACATAATGAATACTTACTAAATATAGTGAAGTAAAATTAATCCTTAACTTGAAAATTAATGTAGAAATATCATTTTAATGTATTATGTATTTCCTTGGTTACCTTGATTGTAAAGTTTCCATAGTCCTTATAAACAATACCATTAACATCTGCTTCAAATAGGCAATATAGGTGTATTTCTATTTTTAGAAATTAGTTGATTAACCCTTATTGTTATACTAACTATGAATTTCAATAACTGAGTGTACACCTTGAGTAGTTGTTGTATTTTGTTAATCTAATCAATATTTTTCATTAAAATCATGAAGCGATCAATGCTGGACCATCATTGAGAATCTTTGATGTTCTCCTTTAAGTTTTAACTTCTATTATAAATAAAAATACTATAATTGTAATATCTTAATGAGTAGAAAACTTAAATTTTCTGACATTTAGTGACTCAGTGTAAGCCAGTTTTTCTGAGAATAAATAACCAAATTAAATTAATCCAAGTTTAAATAGTACGAAGGAACATAACAAGAATGTTAGTTGCGATCAATCAAAAACAGGTTTGACCAGGTCGATTTTTATTGATAACAATCCACCCAATGCTCAATTTATTTAAAATTATCAAACCAAACCTTGATAATAATGTTTATCAACTTCTAATGGTGAACATATACTATAATCTTAGATAATTTGCAACATTCATCTGTCTTCTTTTTTAATAAAAAATTTAAAGTTGGCTTGTCAAATATATCCACAGAGGAATAATTGGAAGTAACATTATTTACTTGAAATATATTTTTTTTGTAACTAATTACAACATACCTCTAATATAGAATAATTTTATTGTTGATAAGAGTTTCGTACAAGGTCATTGAATTAACATAGTCATGACTTACTGAAAAATATTATTTATGCTATAATGATATTGTTTGTATAACATATGGTGGTGAGACTATAATTTATGGGCGACCTTTGAGCGACGCCGAGGTGACCTTGGGAATGTCCACCTACTTATTAGGATTAAATGGGGGTTATGAAGTAGTGTGAAGAATAAAGATTATGATTTACAATTGATGGTTAGGGTTAGGAATTTCATTTATGGTTTTCATCACGAACTGACATCAGCTATAAGGTCAATACTCTATTTAGCCAAATGAATGATTGAGTTTCGCGCCAAAATTCGATACCTCTAATCCTAAATCTGATTGGCTCGTCCATAATTTATACTTTCGCTCATATGGTTATCAATATTCGCATTTATACTTAGCACTCTTTAGTAATGAATGAATAGCTCAACTTACAAGTATTTCACTTAGAATTTATGCACATATATTGTTCTGTTTATTTGTGATTTATTTTAATAGAAATAATCGTGTTAAAACAATATATTAAACAATAAAATAGTTTTCTCTCTTCTTTCTATGTCATTCATTATAAGTAGTCGCGCTTGAGGTCGTATACTAATAGCGTTTCATTCATATATATATAAGTAGACATATGTGCATGTTGGGATATTACGTGTTATACAAGAGTTTTAGGAATTAGTTGCATACTTTTGCTCTACTGATTTGTTGCAATTTCCTGCTTATTTTTATGCTTAAATGCCTAACCAAGCGTTGAGCACTTGTAGTAAAAAACACTACTCTCTCTCCCTTTATACATATATATGATTATTTTTTGTCTTTCTATGAGTTCATGCGTTTCTATTGGTTATGTCAGCTTGTTTATTTATCATATATTTTGGACAATCATATGGAAATGAATTGTGTTTATCGTTTTCTAGTTTGTTTATTTTCTAATTTTTATACATTCATCTATTTTTAGCTCTAAGTAATCATGTATTTTTCGATAAATTTAGTTATGTCTTTACATATTGTCCTCTAAATAATGTCAGTTTTATACGAAATAAATTCTATTCAAATAAGGATTAGTGACCGTATATTTAGAAGTGAATTTTCTGTAATTCTAATACGAAACCTTATTCTATTAAAACAAGTGAGCGAAAGATGACCCAATTATTCATTAATCAAGAAAAACGTCTCTATATATTACATATTGATCAAGTTTGATAATGATACCTATTCGATTCAAACTTAGCATCATATTCATTTTGAGATCTGATAATCTTCATTTCTACTTCATGTAAGATTATGGATTCACCTAACATCACTTCATCATGATATAAACTTTTAATTACTATTAATTAAACGATCATATTTTTCTGCCAAAACATTTTGTTTTTACGTTTGTATTTTCACTTAAAATTTATTTTAGTTCATTTTTATAAAAAAGAATTAGTTGTTCAACAATTTCCAATTATTTAGTACCTTACTATATACTTTTTTAAAAGTTTGTTTGATTTTAGTCCATTAAATATAAAGAAATTATAATATAACATAGATTTTTCTTCTTTTATATTAAGATATATCATTCACATGATCCAACTCAACAACTATAATCACGTTGAAACATTTGAAGTTTTGTCAGATTTACTACATAAAGAGCTTAATAATAAATACTATCTAAAGTTTTGAAATAGGATTTCAAGCTGTTAATATA